TAAATCCAGTATCCGAAGCGTTATATCGCAAAAAATTTGCCTCGGTTCCCGTTACAAAACCCGGTATGCGATACGATTCGTACGAGACGTGTCCACATGTGGCCTGAACTGCCCCGTGTGTGCCAGTGTTTACAAGCCAGCCAGTGTGCTCGCATCTAAGGATACATTCGGTACATTCCAAATTATCCATATTATCACTGTTTCTGGTGCTTGTTTCTGCAAAGTAAGTCACCATGGGCCCCAAGAAAGCTTTTAGTGCCAACCCTTCGAGACCAATGGTTCTAATGACTATTGAAATGAAGAAAGAGATAATTGCAAAGTATGAAAGTGGAGTGCGTGTGTCGGACCTGACCAAGTTGTATAGTAAATCCCAATCAACCATCTCTACTATAGTGAGCAGGAAAATGGCAATCAAGGAAGCTGTTCTTGCAAAAGGTGCAACTGTGATTACAAAACAGCGATCGCAAGTGTTAGAAAATGTTGAGAGACTGTTACTGGTGTGGATAAATGAAAAACAGATCGCTGGAGATAGCATCTCTCAAGCGATCATTTGTGAAAAGGCTAGGCAGTTGCATGAGGATTTAATTAGAAAAATGCCTGCAACTAGTGGTGATGTGAGTGAATTTAAGGCCAGCAAAGGTTGGTTTGAAAGATTTAAGAATCGTTGTGGCATACATAGTGTGATTAGGCATGGTGAGGCTGCCAGTTCAGACCACAAAGCGGCTAAAAAATATGTACATGAATTCAAGGAGTACATAGAGGCTGAAGGATTGAAACCTGAACAAGTGTTTAATTGTGACGAAACAGGCCTGTTTTGGAAGAAATTGCCAAGCAGGACTTATATTAAAAACTTCGACACTCTCCCCTCCTCCCATCCCATCAATCATCACCAGATCTTCATTAAACTTAAGTGTCAATTATTCTATTGTGTTTATTCTATTGTTATTATTGTTATTGTAATTATTCTATTGCATTAAACTTAATATTTCATGTGGTAAAAGTTTTTTTTCATACTTTCGGGTGTCTTGCACGGATTAATTTGATTTCCATTATTTCTTATGGGGAAAATTGATTCGCTTTCTGATAATTTTGCTTTACGATGAGCTCTCAGGAACAGATTAATAACGTGAACCGTGGGTCCACTGTATTATGAAATACAGTGGACCCAGGGAGGTACTATCGTCCTGCCAAGTGAGTGTAAAACGAAAGCCTGTAATTGTTTTACATGATGGTAGGATTGCTGGTGTCCTTTTTTCTGTCTCATGAACATGCAAGATTTCAGGTACGTTTCGCTACTTCTACTTACATTTAATTCACACTACACATACATGTACAAGCATATATATAAATACTGCTCTGGGTTTTCTTCTATTTTCTTTCTAGTTCTTATTCTTGTTTATTTTCTCTTATCTCCATGGGGAAGTGGAACAGAATTCTTCCTCCGTAAGCCATGCATGTCGTAAGAGGCGACTAAAATGCCGGGAGCAAGGGGCTAATGACCCATTCTCCTGTATAAATTACTAAATTTAAAAAGAAACTTTTGTTTTTCTTTTTGGGCCACCCTGCCTTGGTGGGATACGGCCGGTTTGTTGAAAGAATAATAATAATAATAATAATCCCAGGGAGGTACTACCGTCCTGCCAAGTGAGTGTAAAACGTAAGCCTGTAGTTGTTTTACATGATGGTAGGATCCCTGGTATCGGAAGTCCAAGTTGTCGGTAAATGAGTACTTCGCTAAGTGAGGAGAGGCTGTACTAGTGTTTCTTACCTTAAATTGTGGGTGCTAGTGTTTGTCGATGATTGTGAAGAGAGTGGAAATTTATGCTGTGGCCCTACTGGGCTGAGGTGGATGGTAGAGGTTATGGTACTGAAGTCGATGGTTGTACTGGAGTGTACATAAATTCTGTAATGGATTTCTGGGCTATTTTACCCTGTAGTACATTATACCACTGATGGTAAGGCATCAGCTACTCTAGACACCATTTCAGAGCACTGCTTCTAGATTTGGCATTGTCCTCTTTAGTGAAAAAGTCTAACTTTATGTCAGTAAAGTCAGTAAGTCAAGTACCCTGTACCATATGATACAGGGTACAGGGACCCCAGTGGAAATAAGTCACTTTGACTTTTTTGGGTTATTTTAGGTTCTCTACACATAGGCTGCTATGTATGATAATCTATGTAACTGTATTCATGTATACCTGAACACACTTTCAATGCCACATGTGCTCAGGTAAGTAAGTTTATTCAGGTATACACAAATACAGTTACATAGATTATCATACATAGCAGCATATGTGTAAAGAACCTAGGATAACCCAAAAAAGTCAGAGTGACTTACTTCCATTGGGGTCTCTGTACCCTGTACCATATGGTGCAATGTACCATATGCAGTTCCAAGGGGACAGTACATCCCATGGCCCTACATCTGGAATAGACAGTGAAAGTGACGATGATGTGGCTACAATCGGGATGGATAGTGGTAGTGCCACAAGCATGCAGCACCAGACCAGGCTGGGACCCAAGGCACTGACTCAGCAGGTCTAGGACAAAGTGCATCGTCATCTAGCCTCACACCACTACCTGCACAATCACAACTACACCCACAACCAACTTATGATGTCCAGTACCCACCAGCAAACCGCATCTGGGATTGGCAGCAAAATCCCAATTTTGTTCCCAATCCCCATCACTTTAATGACACTCAAATTGGATTCCTGCCACCTTGTTCCCTTGGAAACTCCAAGTGAACTACAATTCTCTGAACTATTCTTTGATCAGCCCTTGATGGAAAATATTGTCTGGGAAAGTAACAAGCATTTTGATTATACCATGGCAAATGCAATTATATCACCACAGTCAAGAATACACTGGTGGAAGGAGGAAACTGTGGCTGATGTGTATTTGTTTTTGCAACAATAATGCTTATGCCTATGTCTATAAGCATAATATAAAATCATACTGGTCCACAGATGAGTAAGACACCAAACTGCATGACACCTTGTTTGAAAGACTTTCACAGACTGCAGCATTTCTAGGAACATGTCCGGTGACTGTACATATGTAAATATATAATAGAACATTACTAATATTTTTGTATGTTTTTGTTATAAACAAGTTTTGTAAACAATATAATTATGAAAATATTAGTGCAGTTATTGTGTTGAATATGAGTGTACATGTATACATTATGCATTACAACCTCTTGACACTTAATGATGGAGTTCCGTTCCTAAGACCACATCATTAAACGAATTTGTCGCTAACTGAGGAGCATACTAAAATGGTAGTGAGTTTGTGTCAGCCATCTTCGATATTGTTTTAATGTCACCTTTGCACCATTTATAACATTTCTGATATACAGTATTTTTAAATGTGTAGTAGTGTACTGTATATTGAAATAAACAGAATAGAGGAAATCAGGTCTGATACATACAGGTTTCCCTCATCATTCGCGTTTTCAACTTTTGCAGGCTTCACACATTCGCGAATTCCCAACCGCCAAAATCCCAGCTGCCAAATTCCCAACAGCTAAATCATATTTAAGTTTCCTGCCACCCTCGAGTCCTTACTACCCTCCCTCCGACCCCCACAACTGGCAGCCAGCCCTCCCACCACTCAGTGTGGTGAGTGTTTTGTTTGTTCATTAATTGCTATTAAACTACAGTATAAATAATGCCAACCCATTCATGACTGAATATTGGAATGGCTATTTGGACAGGTATTGGACTGTGACATCATATGTTTACTCTTAAACACAGCAAAGAATCAAACATTTCTGCTACTGTTAATAATAATAATAATAATAATAATAATAATAATAATAATAATAATAATAATAATAATAATAATAATGATAATAATACGATAGAAATGAAGGAAATTGTACAAAAATACGAGGGTTGAAGCAGTGGTGGAAGAAGTGGTTGACGCATTGTCAGTCAGTGTGCCTTTGTTTATGCTGGAGTGAGCATTAGTTTCCACACTCTAACCAAACATTTCACAATAATTCATTGTGTTTGGTGCTTGTAGATTGAGTGTGACTGGAGTGGAAGAGGCAGTGGGTGAGGCAGTGGTAGAGGCAGTGGTAGAGGCAGTGGTAGAGGCAGTGGTTGAGGCAGTGGTTGAGGCAGTGGTTGAGGCAGTGGTTGAGGCACTGGTATTTAATAACAAACATGTTATTAAACCATAACATGTATGTATTTAGAACAATATTTTACGACATTTTCATATATTTTATGATTGTTCATGGTTCAACAAGGAAGCAGTATTATATTATATTTCCCTACAATATATTGGGGCACTAAACATTCGCGATTTTTCAACATTCGCGAGGCTCTTGATACCTTAACCCTCGTGAATGTTGAGGGAGACCTGTATTATTTAGGTATGAATACTGGTCAGAGAGCCCATCATAAGTCCGAGGCATCAGTAAACGAGTACATCTCTAAGCGAGGAGAGGCTTTATATTGGTCTCACAGGCCACAAACGTTACTGGAAAAAAAATTTAGAAAATTGAAAAAAGTAAGAAAAAAGTAAAATAAAAATAACGCGACTTTACGGAAGTCACCAGTGCTGCCGCCACTCAGTCATTGAGGGTCAGCTCCGCACCTCTATATCTTGGAAAGTAGTGATCAGAATTTTTTTTTGTTTTGCTTTATTACCTCTATAAAAATATTATCTTTAATTTTATAAGAAAAAAAAAAAACATGTTTTTTGAAAAATCTTGGACCCTGGCTGTCACTCTGAGATTTGGCCTCTGGACCCTCAAAGGGTTAATATATATTTTTTTAGACAAATAAGAATGATATCAATAAATTCTATTAGTATTATATAAGGAATTTTCTCTAATTAGGACTTGCATTTGAATTCCAAATAAGAACAATTTCTGTACACCATGTAACTAAACACATTAAAGACATGGTGTCTATTGCTGTGAATTTTTTTCAGTAGAAATAAGTATGACTCCTGATAAATTTATGTTGTATTGTACATTCTTTCAGGAACATGGAAGAACTTGTTTATTTTCCAGATATTAAACCATCTAAGCAACTTTCATATCCTATTCGACAATTGATTTCCCGTGAAATTGAATTGGAGAAAGTTCGTAGAGCTGAGGCATACTTCTTGAATCAGAAGCTGGTAAGATTTAGTTTTTAAGAAATTCATACAGTATAGTACAGTATTACTTACATATACATGTGTATTATACATTAACTTGATAAAATATTTCAACCAGCAAAATGTTTAGTTCACACATCTGTAATATATGACAAGAGTAAGAATGATGTGACTAAAATGCCAGGAGCAAGGGGCTAGTAACCCCTTCTCCTGTATAAATTACTAGATTTAAAAGGAATAATTTTTTTTTCTTTTTAGGTTACCCTGCCTTGGTGGGATGCATTGGTATAAAAGTATATTAACTTACAAGAATGATATTGATGGTCATGTAAAATGTTAGAGAAGGGATATGAATGTATAAATTGTAACCTTTTTATATAGAAATTTTTTAATTGTAAAAATCATATATAAAATAAAATGTAAATATGAGTGGAAGAGTGAAAGTTTTCAATGAGGTCTGAGAGTCATACCAACCAACTATGTATTACTGTGTCCAGAGAATGAATGATGGCGAATGTGTTTCCTTCTTTGGGTCACTTTACCTTGGTGGCAAATAGCCAGTATGTTTTAAAAGTAAGGTTAGGAATTATTAAGTTGAATTTGTGATATAGAAAAATGAGTTTTGTCTTGTAGAAGTAAGGAACAGTTAGATAATCCAATATTGTTACTGTTAAATTCTTTATATTCTCATTATGCTGCATCTGATATTCTGGAGATATTTTGAGTTTTTATATTTTTTTTTACATTAAAAGGATTTTTTTTTTATAAAAAAACACATTATATTCCTTACCTATTAGAAAACTTCACTAATACCTGTTATAGATTCTGTTCAGTATTCTCTACATTTGATATAATTTCTACTGTCTCTTGTGTAGGTCAAAGAGAGAGTGATATACTGAGGAAATACATTGAGAAACTAAGTTGCTCAACAAATGTAAAGTTAGTTCACTTTTTTGAATGAAATGGCACATACTCAGTAACTTTAAATGTGGAATTTTAGGTAAGCATATGACCAGGCAATAATCAATAAGAAGAATCGTCATTGGAAAGAGTAAAAGTAAATGTTAATCAAATTACAGAATGGGTGAGACTTGAACCTGCAGTGGGTGGGACTTGAACCTGCAATGGGCAGGACTTGAGCCTACAATGGGTGGGACTTGAACCTGCAATGGGTGGGACTTGAACCTGCATTGGGTTCAAGTCCCTGATTCATTTGCAGTCATGTTATTACTATTTCATGAGTATTATTAAGATTGATTATACTGAAATAATTGAACAAAATAGATATAGATAAAAATGATGAGTAAATCTAGAATAGATGGAAGATGTGTGGGACATTCCAGAAAGGGTTGTAAGGAATATATGAAAGATGTATTAATAGGGAGGCACTTGAATATCCAGCAGGTATATGTGACTGTTGGTTGTGGAATGGGTAAAGATTACTGGTTCTTGTAATCTCTGTGGTGTTGGAGAGTAAGGTAATATTTATGAAGACATTCAAGGAAATCAGCTTGCTTGTCTTGTCTAGGGGGTTGAGAAGTACAGTAGGTATGGCTATTGCAGTTTGATGGTTCAACATTGGATCAAGATAGCTGTGCCTTTCTGTAAGGTAGGTAGACTCCAAGTGATGCTGAATATTTTCTCTTGAGCCACCCATCCTGCCTTGGTGGGGAAGCAGCTAACGACCTAAAATTAAATGCCCTGAGTAATTTTAGTCGAGTTGAGGAGTTACAAAGGATCAAGTGATTGAAGATCATGTCCATTGTAAACATTATGTCTCTAGAGAGGATGTGGAATGACTGCAGCATTGGTCAATGTATTAAGGCAGTTGAGAAGAAGCAATTGTGTTTGATTCATTATTTGTGAATATAGATATTCATAAAAAAATATACATAAATAGTAATACAGAAAAATAAATGAAATCATGAAATAATTCACACATTATGTTTTGTTGCTGGAGACCCAATATTAATACATATTTGAAATGGATAGTAAAGAATTGTATGTTTTAGCTAAAAATCTTAGTTTTATAATTACAAAGATGCTAATTACATTTTCTAGAATGAAGATAGCAAATCTGCTGCAAAACCTCCAGCCTTAGAAAAGATGATTACAAGCAATAATTCAGCTGAAAAACATGCAGAAGTCACCAAATCTTCCAGTAATTCGCTGCCAAATCATCTTCAGAAGTTGCAAGCAAAACCAGTTTCTGAAATTACTAGCCCAAAGGTAATTCTCAATTTCTATAATTTAACTCTAGTAGAAGATCGTATTTACCACTTAAATTACTTTCTTACTTACATAGTTTAGTTTTGTAACATAGTTCTTATTAATCTCTTCCAAAAATAACAAAAAAAGGCACAATACCGTGACTGGAACGATACACAAATAACCCGCACATAAAAGAGAGAAGCTTATGACGACGTTTCGGTTCGACTTGGACCATTGACAAAGTCACACTAACCAGAGGTTAGTGTGACTAGTACTACTACTACTACCACTTCTTCCTGCCTATATATAGCCGTCCTGCTCTACCTCTGGTTAGTGTGACTTTGTCAATGGTCCAAGTCGGACCGAAACGTCGTCGTAAGCTTCTCTCTTTTATGTGCGGGTTATTTGTGTATTGTGTAATCTCTTCCAAGTTATTTTTTTAGTTAATGTAATCTCATTGATTGTAATCCAGTGTTTAAAAAATGGTTTCATGTGTATTTAATTAGTGATTAGTAGTGTACCCTTTTGATTTTTTTTTTTTAACAGCAAGGAGATATCTGTAGATAGTGATAAATTTAATGGATAGTTTATTTTTAGAGGTCCCATTAATGGAGGTAGCACAGTATGACAGTGTTGTGGTTTTAATTTATTTTAGCTTCCAACATTTCATTTTGAGAACACTTCAAACCTGAAGCATTTATTGTACTGTATATTATATGTTAAAAAATATTGTATTAAGGTTTAAATCCCCCTGGGGTTCTGAGGTTGCTTGAAAATAATTCTGTCCAGTTCCCAGGAACTTAATTTTGTAATGTTATCTTTCATGATTTATCACTCAAGTCTAGTGTCAGCAAAATTTATAATTTTTAGTCAGACTGGAAAAGAATTAGTTTCAGCTAAATATAATTTTTAAAATACTAATTACATCACGAGAGGTTCATTCATCAATTTAATTTTTAACTATAATAGATATAATTTTTAATTATAATAGATATAATTTGAAATAATTTTAGCTCTTGGTGTTACTAGTTTATGGTTGTCCTGGGGTGTGATTATAATAAGTTATACAGTACTGTGATAGTGTTTATTAACCCAAAATTTTATTAGATTTGCATGAATATTTTTTGTTTGTAATCAACACTAAAGCACCATACACCTGTCGTCTGTAGACACCAATTACTTTGTGATAATAATATATGTCACTAAACATGAGATTTTGAATGCCATTCTTCAGGGAAGCAGTAAGGCGACATCTGCAGAAGTTGCACAAGTAAGATCAAATTGCAAAATTACATAAATCTGTACTTTTTAATTTACACAATTTGTTAAGTTGTAACTTTTATCATGAATTATATTGCTGTACCTCCTAAATTACATGTGGTATATCCATACGCGTATGAGGTGAGTGGGTCTGGAGGGGCGTCAACCCGCCATGGATTACAAAATTGAATATTTTCAGGGCAAAAACTTTTTTTTTTTTCAAGGCAGATTTTTGATAAATATAAATTCATTGATAATTTGTGTTTGAGATGGGGTAATTAATTTAATTTACTACTGTATATCAAATAGGAGTTCAGCATATGTTGTATACCTGACTGCTTGAATAGTTTACTCTCTTAACTGAGGAAACTGATGTTGATGAACTTTACTGAATTTTTGATCAACTTCCCAACCGGAAATTGATTGTACAGATCGGCCATCACTAATCCGGCATCATTGGGACCTGTAGGGTGCCGGATTGGTGACTTTGCAGGATTACGGAGTGGTTGGGTTAGAATACACTTAACCCAATGGTGATATTTATGCATCAGCGATTTCACCCAATTTACGCCCTATTTTTGGCCCATTCCATTGTTCCAGTCCACCAAACTCATAGCTATTTTGCTAGTCCAGTGGAACCTTGACTTACGAGTTGAATCCGTTCCAGGAGCTAGCTTGTAACTCAATTTACTCGTATATCAAATTAATTTTCCTCATTTAAATTACGTACTTGAAAAGCCATTAATTCGTTCCTGCATTCTGGAAAGACTAGAAAAAATACTTGAATATGATGCTATTATCAATTGTACGACTTATTTATCTATCACACTTCATCTAGTATGACATAATAAACAATATAATTAGCACAGAAACATGATATATACTCTAGATTGAATAAAATAGGCCATAATATAGTGGCAGCGGCAGAGGCAGAGGCAGTGGCAGCAGCAGAAGCGTTGGCCATTTCTGTCCCAATTTGACTAGTATCTTCTCATGTTCTTACTGTAAGAGAAAACGGAGTGTTTTTGAGGCTAACTGCAGTAGATCACTAGGACCCATGGTTAGGAAAAAGAAATTTGGCCAAATGACTGTAAAAAACTGCAAATAAGCACGAGAGAACTGCCCCCACAGGGATGTAAACATGTTTACTGCTTACCAGCTGTGCCAACTAACAGAAGCAGTCTGAATTATTACATATGTATTATGCGTTATTATTATTATTATTATTAATTTAGGGAACTGAAGGTCTATTTATTTATTTATTTATTTATTTATTTATTATAAATTTGTGCACACATACAGAGGTACAAAAAAAATACAGATAAGAGCAGTATGCCAAAGCCACTTATACTATGCAAAGCATTACGGGCTGGCTTAAAATTAACTTAAGATTAACTAAGCAATGATGAAGTCAGTGATAAAACATTAATGTAAACAGATTACTATAAAGCACAAGTGAGTATTACAAAGACAGGTCATATGAAGGATTCTGTTAGGTAGTGTATTTAAAAAATAATAAAGTTAGATTGGGTTTTAGGTTTAACATTTATGTGATATAATTGTGAGAAACATTTAAGATATACAATTTATAAGGTTCAGTTATTCAGTATTTATTTGGTTTTGGGTGAGTAAGTGATCTTTGAGTAGAGACTTGAATTTATAAACAGGTAGTGTTTCTTTTATATTTACAGGTAATGAATTCCAGATTTTAGGGCCTTTTATGTGCATTGAGTTTTTGCATAGTGTGAGATGAAACACGAGGAACATCAAAGAGTGATCTGTGCCTTGTGTTATGGTTCATGTGTTCTGTTGAGGTTGGCAAGGAGATGTTTGAGTGGAGGGTTAATATCAGAGTTAAGTGTTCTATGTATGTAATAGGTGCAGTAATAAGTATGGATGTTTTGTATGGTGAGTAGGTTTAGTGTATTGAATATTGGTGGAGTGTGCTGCTGTAGTGAGAATTTGTTATCATTCTAACTGCAGCCTTTTGTTGGGTAATTAGTGGTCTGAGATGGTTAACTGTTGTTGAGCCCCATGCACAAATTCCATAGGTGAGATAGGGGTAAATAAGAGAGTGATATAGGGCCAGGAGGGCTGACTGTGGAACATAGTACCGTATCTTCGATAGTATGCCTACAGTCTTGGAAATTTTCTTAGAAATTTGTTTTATATGTGTTGAAATTTGAGTCTATTATCAAGGTGGATTCCTAAGAATTTTCCCTCTGTTAGCTTTGTGATAGGTGATCCGTTTATCATTATGTTAAGAGGGACATCTGTAGCTCTGTTACCAAACTGTATGAAGTAGGTTTTGTCAATGTTTAGTGTAAGTTTGTTAGTCCTCATCCAGGTAGATATTTTCTGTAATTCGGTATTTACAGTATTGGCTAGTGTGACTGGGCTCGGGTGAGAGAAGACGTATGTAGTGTCATCTGCAAATAGTGTGGGTTTGAGTAATTGCGAAGCATTTGGAAGGTCATTTATGTATAGGAGAAAGAGAAGAGGGCCAAGGACACTTCCCTGTGGGACACCAACTGTAATTGGTTGCGCAGAAGAGTTTGCCCCATTTGCGTACACATTGGCTTCTGTTGCTGAGGTATGACTTGAGGTAGTTGAGGAGTGCCCTCTTATACCATAGTGTGACAATTTTACGTGGAGCAAGTCATGGTCAACTGTATCAAAAGCTTTACGTAAGTCAATGAAGATCCCCAGTGGGACTTCTTTTTTCTCTATTGCAGTGTATATATGTTCTAGCATGTGTATAATAGCATCATTAGTATTTTTATTAGGCCTGAATCCAAATTGGCAGGGGTTGAGTATGTTTTGGGAGATAAGGTAGGAGTAGATTCGTTTATGAATTAGTTTTTCAAAGATTTTTGAGAGAGGGTGTAAGTTGGATATTGGCCTATAGTTATTCAACTCTGTTTGGTCTCCTCCTTTGTGGATCGGGGTGACCCTTGCTATTTTGAGTACTGTAGGGAAGGTGGAGGATTCAATGGATTTGTTAAAGAGTGTTGCAATGATTGGAGATAGCACTTGTGACACTTTTATATATAAAGGGTGGTAAGGTACTTAAATCTCCTGCCTTGTTTTTTAGTGCATTGATAATAAGGGAGACTTCGTATGGGTTAGTCGGAGCTAGGAACAGTGTGTTCGGGTAGTTGCCGGTGAGGTAGTTATTTGGTGGGGTATCTGAGCTTGGGATTTTATGGGCAAGGTTTTGTCCTATAGTGGAGAAGAAATCATTGAGTCTGTTTGCTGTTTCTGTTGGTGGGAGTTGGGGTTCATCTGATTTTGCTAATTTTATTTCGCTATTTCGTGATATCTTTTTTGTTCCCAGAATTTCAGATAGTGTTTTCCAGGTCTTTTTTATATCACCTCGTAAGTTGGATAATCTGTTCTCATAATACAATTTTTTTGCCCTTCTTATCAGGCTGGTTAGGATTGACGAGTAACGTTTTGTTTGGTCTCTGGTTATGTGACCCATTCTGTACTGTTTTCATATTGTGTGTTTTGTATTTATGGATTTGAGAATGCTGGGTGTTAGCCAGGGACTGTTCAGTCTCTTTGCTGTCATCTGTTTAGTTTTTAGGGCAGTGCTTGTTATAGAGGTATTGGGTCTTTTTTAGAAAATTATTAATACATTCGTTAATATCTGTATAGATTTCTAGCTCAGTGTGCCAATCAATGTTTTGCTAATGCTGTTGCGAAGTTATTAATGGCTGCCTCATTGTGAAGTCTGAAGGTGACTTTAGTAGTGTCTTGGGGTAGTTTACCAAGAGTTGTTATGAGGAAGTAGGGTAGTGGTCTGTGGTATTATCTGTAATTATGCTCGATTTAAGGGGATATGGTGTTGGTCCAGATGTGGTCAAGTAGGGAAACACTAGTCTCTGTAACTCTTGTAGGTTTTGTTACTGTGGTAGTAACATACAGTTACTCATTGTGTTTGTGAATTCAGTAACGTGTGGGTCCTGGTCTTGCAGGAGATTTATATTGAAGTCACCTGAGAGTAGTAAGTGATCTTGTTCATGCGTGCATCAGTTATCATACTTCCTAGATTTTGACTAAATTGGCTAATGTTTGACTGTGGAACTCTGTAGATGTTTATCAATGTGAGAGGTTTTTGTAGGTATTTGGATTTGAATTTAGCTATTATATATTCCCCATGTTCATCCCTTGGTGCAAGTATTAGTGATACATTCTAGTTGGTCTGAGTAGTATATGGCTGTGCCACCCCCTTGTTGTCTTGGCCTACAGTTGTGTATGGCTGTGTAACCAGGAATGGCATAGACATTGTACTATCAGGCTTTAGCCAGGTTTCAGTTAGTGTAATGATGGACATATTGGCATGTAAGGGAATTTAGTAATGCTATGAGGTCATCGTAATGCTTGCTTAAAGATCTGATATTGTAGTTAAAGATAGTTATGTTGTTGTTGGCACTGAGAAGTGCCTTTGATTGTTCTGCAGTGTAGTAATTACAGTAACTGTTGATTCATTTAAGTCATTAAATAAGAGGTTGGTATCAGGATCAATGCTTGTAATCATAAGATTTGTAGTGAATCTATAGTTAGAATTAAGTATAAAACAAAGTAAATAGTCTTAAGCTAAAAAATAGCACCTGAATTATTTAACAAATGTAAAATAATGAGCTAAGGGACTAATACAAATAAAGTGATGATCATATAATAGTGTTTGGGAATATGATAGTAGGTAGTACTATAAAGGTAATTTTTTAAAGTTATAATTATAGTTTACAATTATAGTAAAAAGGGACTAATATAGGTTGTGAATAAATGAGCTTTGGAATATAATGGCAAGATTGTGAGCTTATTCTACTTTAGCATTATCATTAATAATAATAATTATTATTAATTTAGGGAACTGAAGCTCTATCGTTATAATAATAATAATATTTATTATTATTATTCTTTCTTTCTTTCAACACACCGGCCGTATTCCACCGAGGCGGGGTGGCCCAAAAGGAAAAACGAAAGTTTCTCCTTTTGCATTTA